CCCATCCTAAAATTCGTATGGAATCACAAATGACCCCTAATAGCCAAAACAATCTTGAAAAAGATGAAGAAAGCTGGAAGACTCACACTTCCTGATTTCAAAACTTATTACAAAGCTACAGTAACCAAAACAGTGTGGTGCTGGCAGAAAGCAAGACACAGAGAACAATGGAATAAAATAGAGAACCCAGAAATAAACCTTCACATAATATGGTCAAAAAATTTTTGACAAGGATATCAAGACCATTTAATGGGGGAAAGGACAGTCTTTTCAACAAACGGTGCTGAGAAAACTGAATATCCACATGCAAAAGAATGAGGTTAGACCCTGACTCAACACTATACATGAAAATTAACTGAAAATGGATCAAAGAAAAATGTGAGACCTAAAACTAAAAAACTTTTAGAAGAAAAAACAGGGCAAAAGAGTCAAAATGATTCGGATTTGGCAATGAATTTTCGGATGACACCAAAGGCATAGGCAACAAAAGAAAAAATAGACCACCTGAATGTCATAAACATTTTAAAAATGCGTGCATCAAAAGACAGTATCGACAGAGTAAAAAGGCAACCCACAGAATGGGAGATAATATTTACAAATCACACTATCTGATAAGAACTTAATATCTATAATGTATAGAGAACTCCTAAAACTCAACAACAAAAATTTTGACTTAAAAATGTGCAAAGCACTTAAATAGACATTTCTCCAAAGAAAACATGCAAATGTCCAATAATTACATGAAAATATAGCCAACATCACTAATCATTAGAGAAATGCAAATCAAAACTACAATGAGATAACTACCTCACACCCATTAAGATAGCTACTATCAAAAAAACATTCATTGGCAAGGATGTGGAGAAATTGGAACCCTTGTGCATTGTTGGTGGGAATGTAATATGGCATAGCTGCTGTATAAACAGTATGAAGCTTCCTCAAAAAATTTAAAAATAGAATTACCATGTGATCTAGCAATTCCACTTCTGGGTGTATAGCCAAAAGAATTGAAAGCAGGGTCTGGAAGAGCTATCTGTACATCCATGTTCACAGCAGCATTATTCACAACAGCTAAAACGTGGAAGCAACCCAAGTATTCGCCAACAGATGAATAGATAAGCAAAATGTGGCACATACATACAATGGAATGTTATACAGCCTTAAAAAGAAAGGAAATTCTAACATATACGACAACACAGATGAAACTTGAGGATGTTATGACTAGTGAAATGAGCCAGTCACAAAAAGACAAATAATGTATAATCCCACTTACATGAAGTATTTAGAGTAGTCAAAATCAGAGGCAGAAAGCAGAACGGTAATTGCCAGGGTCTGGGAATGGGTGTGAGGATGGGGAGTTACTGTTTAATGGGTATGGAGTTTCAGTTTTACAAGATTAAAGAGCTATGGAGAACGATGTTGGTGATGGTGGCATATTATGAATTTAAATAAATACCACTGAACTGTACACTTAAAATGGTTAAGATTGGGCCAGGCAC